TACCAAAAGAAGAAAGGAGGAATTAGGGCTACAGCAGACGGGAGATGACTTAGTGTACCACATACACGCTGAAATGACGAAAATGCCCCTATCTTTTGAGCCTACCGAGCTTATACGAGCCGAGCCTGCTCGGCTCGTTTATTAAACGAGTACTCATTAGAGCTCGAGCTCGGCTCGTTTCTCTCTGTTAACGAGCCGAGCCGAGCCCTTATCGAGTCGGGTCGAGCTCGGCTCGCGAGCTGCCCGGTTCGATTAACAGCTGTACCCAAATTGTAATCTACTTTCCAATTGAAGAATGTAGTTGTATTTTAATTTTTCTAAAATACTCTTATTCAATGTAAGTAATTGTTACTATAAACCTATCTCATTTAATGAGAGTTGATTCTTTTTTTATCATCAATTCAAGTTCCCATAAAGTTGTACCATATTTAATGTGAGGGTATTTTAGAAAAATAACAATCTAAATTTACTTTTTCAACAAAGTTAATTACTTTTTCTTAAATTGTGTAAAAAAAAGAAATATAACTATCAAAATGGGAGCGAGGGAATAGTAGTGCGACAGAACTTCAGTGTTTTGAAAACCGGACCGGACCGGCCGGTTCGACCGGTTGAACCGGCCATGACTCCGGTCTGGTTCACTGTCAGGTTTGACTTTGTCAAGAAACCGGTCAAAAACCGGTCGGGCCGCGAAACCGCTGAACCGGATTTGAACCGGTTATTTCCGGTTTTTGAGTTTTCCTTTTTTCTTTCTTTCTTTTTTCTTTTTTTTTTGTTTTTGTAAAATGTAGTTATCAAGATTCGAACTCAAGACCTTTGAAATAGAAGACCAATGTAGTAACCATTGCACTATCACATCTTATTAGTTTTTTTTGATAACTTATTTATATAAAACAAACACTCATATTTCTTTTGTTCCATTTTTTTTACAAAATATTATCCTTTCATGACTCTTTCTTTTTAATCTTCAACACACACACACACACACACACACACTCTCTCTCTCTCTCTATCATCTTTTCTTTTGCCACTCATTTTTTAATCAAATCTCTTTATTTTTAATTTATTGATGTTTTCTTCCATATTTTAATTTTGTTTTTGTCCATTAAATTTTAAAAAGTTAAAAAAGAATTATTTTTCTTTAACCCAATTTATTTAATACCACAACCACTCACTTTTATCTCATTTTTTGTTTCTTATCAAATTTGCATTTCTATTTTCAATTCTCTTGATTTTCTTCGAACTCCAAACTTCCTTTTTTAAATTATAAATTTAAATTCCAAAATGTAAATTAAAATTTAAATTCACAATGTCTAAATTTTCATAGACGTGAATTTTGTATAATTTCAAATATTGTGATATTTTTGGATTATATTTAAGATTTTTTTGGTAGATATAATTGAAATTGAGATGAAATTTATTTGTTTTAACTTATAATTTAAAAAATTTATTTTTAAAAATCCAAGTTATTCAAAAATAGTAAACTTTTTATCATATAAAGTATTAAATTATCCATTACATGTTTTATTTTGTGCACATATATATTTATATAAATTATTTTTTAAAAAATTCATTGAACCGAGGTTGAACCGGTCCGACCGATTGAATCTCGACCCTTTCACTTCACCGGTTCGATTAACGGTCCGATTTTTAAAACATTGCAGAACTTTGGCATAACTAGGAAAAAGATACCGATAAGATGATCTATTGTTTTCCCACTGCGTCCTTTTCGCAACTTCGTGGCAAATGACCCAAATAGCTAGGCTGGCACTCAGGTACAAGAAAAAATAAACTAAACGGAGGGTCAACACTTTTGTTTGTCCGAGGAAACTTTTTGGTTTTACCGGGTCAAAGGTTCTGATTAATAGGAATAGACTAAATTCACACCAACCCACCTAAATGCAATAATGACATTGAAACCTTAACATTTAATGGTTTTCCTTCGAGCACTTTTTGTTTATTCCAATTTATGCTTTCAAACAAAAGAAATGATTTGCTTTGCAGTATTATTTTGACTATTATTCCAGCATTTTTATCTTTCACATTTTTTCTAATTTGAATTCATTCCTACGTGTTTAATCCTTGAAATATTCTGAATGATTTATTACTATAATTGATCTCTTGTGCGCTTGTAATAAGTCATCGATCAACTACTAATATAAATAGTAGATCCATGAGAAGACTAAAAATACACCGACTTTGTCAAGTATATGATACTGGACGATTTTCAATAATTTCATTAGTAAAATCCTTGGTTTTTCTTGTATTAGAAAAAGAAAAAGGCACACAACCATATATCTCTTCTCATTCCGGGAAATATTCTTCAAGTTCTATATCACATTATTGTAGGTTTTTGGACAACTTAAATTTGGTTAGTCATATACTCACCTTCCAGTGCACCGACACATAAAGTAAGGAAAGAGCTGTGATGGATTTGACCTTGGAAGCCATCAATTGTTGTTAGAGCCGGCAATTAGGGGGTTGCCACAACTTCAAAATAGTGACATTTGCCCGACTCCCAAAGGCCAACTTTTTTAATGCTTTAATCTTCTGTATTCATAGTTTAGTACACTTGTCATTGCTTGATTTTACGATTTGCAATTCGGAGATGATGGTCTGCTTAATATCAATCTTCAAACTTAAAATATTTCCTATAATAAAAACTCCCTTTTCTTTTTATTACCTTAGTTTTCTTGGAAAAATTCTGCAGGCATGCTTCTTTTCTTCAAGTAAAAAGGCACATTCTCTAAATATATACTCCCTCCGTCCCACTTTGATAGTCCTGTATTCCTTTTTCATCTGTTCCAAATTGTAATTCACTTTTTAATTGAAGAATGTAGTTGTAGTTTAATTTTTTTAAAATATTCTTATTCAATGTAAATAGTTATTACTATAAACCTACCCTATTTAACGAGAGTTGATTCTTTTTTTACCATCAATTCAAGTTCCCATAAAATTGTACCATATTTAATGTGAGGGTATTTTAGGAGAATAGCAATCTAAATTTACTTTTCCAATAAAGTTAACTACTTTTTCTTAAACTGTGTGAAAAAAAAAGGACTATCAAAGTGGAACGGGGGAGTATTTAAGTTGCATTCTTAGAGACCATCGAGAAATTCACAGGCGTGTGGATTTAAGCGTACTTCACAAGGTTGGATGTAGACTCATATTTTGACATACTTTGACTAGAAAACCTCAATAATCTAGAATAAATAAGACTATCCTCCTATGACATTTACCACAAATTAATATACCGATTCCACAATTAAACTTAGAACTGACCTTAAAACCACGAAAATACATGTAATCAAAGACTACCAACTAAGCATATACAGAGTTGGAAAAAGTACATGATTTTGGTTGGTCTATTAACATTATGCACACATATTCACAACAATGAACCGTTATTGACTCTAAGACAATATTCCCAAAAGCTACTTAAAGTTGAAAACGAGTTAATTTCGGTAAAATTTTTGTTTGCAATCATGCGGGAAACTACGGAATCGTCTTTGTAATACACCCATCACATTAGTTGTGATTTTTTTATTCTTGTCATTTGTGTAAAAGAAACAATAGTAATCTGGAACCATTCTTTACAAGCCATGGAAGGACAAAACTGAAACTAAAAATACTTTTTAGCATTTCATATGAATTTTTTGTAAACTTAGACTGACATTGTTACATCGAAACTCAAAGTAGGAGAGCTAAATGTAATATCTAAAACGTCAGAAGAGCCGGGGGACATTGTCAGAAATCTCAAGAGATGTTTCTGAAATCATCTTTAATAATCTGATTTTGTGGTGGTAATGAGCAATCTCTCTCGTATCCGGGTTTCTAGTCTTCCTTGAATTAATTGGCTTCTTCTTTTGTTTCCTCAACTTGCAGTTAGTCAAAAAAGAAAAAGACTATCACATGGTAAAGTGCAGAAAAAAAGTTATTCAACTATTATGAGTAATCGGAAAAGGACTTATGAATGGTCAATTATTTGAGGTAGGAGAAGAATAGATTGAAGTGGCCAACTTACATTTTGCTTCACGAAAAAGAGAACGTGTTTTTCACTAAAACTGAAATTTCAGTTGTTCTCTCAATAACTATTTGTGATTATTTTGCTGTTCTTCAGTGGGAGAAAGATGTAAATTTTGTTCACCAAAAAAAAAAAAGGACAAGAAAAAAACCTTAGATTAGCTGATACAGTAGTTCATTACTCCCTCCGTCCCATTAAAACTGTCATACTTTCCATTTTGGTCTGTCCCAAAATGTTTGTCACAAAATCAAAATGGAAAACAAAAATTCTCTTGTTTCAATTTTTACCCTTCAAGATTCCCTCATTCTTTACTTTTATTAGTGGGGCCCCTTGATTTTCATTTGCTCTCAACTCAAGTTGCAAGACAGCCGTGAGATACACACAAGGTTTAAAGTGATGCGTGAGAATCACTCTCTGTTAGCGGATTGCATTTCTTGAAAGTAGCTTTGGCCCCACATGTTATTTTTGTTTTCTTGACCACTAATGACCACACATTCTAGTAGCAAAATCGGAAAACAAATCTGAAACTTAATACTGTGCATAAAACGTTCAGCTCCCAAAGCACGACAAAGTTTTCGGGACAGAGGGAGTATTATTTTCTACTTTCACATTCATCAAATATGTGTCTTTAGTTACTTGTTAATAGTGCTTAAATCCAATAAATCAAACGTGTTAATTAAGTATATAGGTAAAAAAAATAAAATGTAAAAAAGTTATTCTGAAATCAAGGTTTAGCGTCACTAGGCCTAGCGTCACTACAATAAAAATATCAAAACCTTAAAGTTTGGACTTTGCGCATAATCTTTTAGTACGAAAATAACGAAATTAGTGCATCATTAATTACGAGGACTTTGGTAGCTTATATCACAGGCACACACATATATATGTGCCCTGAATTTCTTTCCTAGTCACACTTGTTTTCTACTGCATATAATTCTTTTACAACTAAAAGAAACCAAAACTCTTTCAAGGAAATATTTTAAATCTTGGCAAAGTCCACCGTCTCCTTCCCGTCATGAGCTTTTCTGAAGAAATGCTTGACATAATCCGAATACAGAACTTTCTTGTAGATTGGCTTTTCCCCACCCTCAAGAACTTCTGGCAGAGGACCAATAGCGTCACTAGGCCTAGGGTTCACAAATATTGGAACAGAAACCCGATTCTTGATCCCATTCGCAATCACACGATGCTCAATGCTCTTGTATCGACCATTGCTCAAAATTTGCAGTGCATCACCAACATTGATCACAATTGCCCCATTAATTGGAGGGACATGAACCCATGAATCACTGTCCAATTTTTTCACATAGAGCCCTCCAATATCATCCTGAAGAAGGATTGTTAGCGTTGATACATCTGAGTGACGGCCTACGCCAACAGTTAACTCAGGCTCAGGACATTTGGGATAGTAGTTTAGGTTAATTCTTTTTGAACCCATTAAGAGTGATTCTTTGGTTCCATCAATCTCCTTAACATTTAGTCCTTTCATCAAAGCCTCCATTAGCCTTCGGATTACAAACTCAGACTTTTTCATGAAATCCAATGCTTCATTCCTGCAAATAGAAGGATAGTCCATTATATTACTTTTTGGAAGTAGACCAATGGCAATCCAAGCTTTTATTGCCTACAATTCACAGGCTGATAGACCAAATTGCACCACAATAAATTTTGGTACACCGATATTAGAACTCTTAATAATTATATATAAAAATTTTAACATCTATACTTTTGTTACTTTCTCGTTTTCATTTAATTGGTTGTTGAATGCCAATTCTTGTATTAAATCGTGAAACATAGATACTTTTGCATGCAACGGCTAATGTTTAATTGCATATTCTTAACCTAAGAATTAGTGTTCTGCTGCTTATTACTAGGCAAAAGTGGCTCTCTAAATCGTAACAATGTGATTTTTTTTTTAGTGCAAACAATCTAAGCTCGAAATTTTTATGGACGCAGAGCAATACTAGAATACTTCCTTTAGGGAATATCATGCTTGCCTTGTAATCATGAAAAAATAATGGAAAGTTGTGTGTACAGCTTCGCAAGTTTATACCTGATGCCGATTTAGAAACATTTACAAAATATCCATATCATACCTGCATGCAGAAGGCCATTGCGCTGCAGCCTCATCGTCCGAAGCATAAAAGAGACTAAGAAAATCTTTCCACTCCAAAGCCTTCTCGGCCTTGGGAGTGAAGCTGGTGCCATATCTCACATTGTTGGTTGGTGAATTATCTTTCGAGTGCTTATTTTTTTGCTCAGCAGGCAAGTCAAAGAATCGACGGGTAGCCTCCTTGACGCCTTCTAAAACTTCAATAGGGATGCCATGGTTAACAATTTGGAAGAAACCCCATTTTTCAGCTGCATGGCAAATTTGTTCAGCAACTTTTGGATCAGTCCAGTTTGACAAATCAATGACAGGGATTGAATCATCGGTAACTACGGTACTGTTTGTGATTTTTTCTTCAGGTGGTTGAATGTATTGCTTAGGCAAAGTCTCTAGTCCTAAGTCAGCTAGACCCTTAACCCCGTGACCCTTATCTACAGCAAAACTTATCACATCCCATGACTTGGAATCCATGGATGGTGATGGAGCCATTGTTGTAGATGATTTGGATATTTGATTGAGGGTAGAAAGACGGACTTAGTGAAAAATGAACAAGACAGCAAAGGACTTGGTGGTTTGCAGGACATGGCATGGTAGATTATTTATGGTAGTTGGGAGCACGTCAATGTTTCATTTTTGTCATTGGTTAATATGTTATGTCCTTGTTCAAAATATGGAGGGTCTTAATAAAAAATACCGTTTTGCCCAGTTTGCCAAGGAATTTAATGGTACCACAATGATGATTGAAATCCACTTAAACCCCGTGTTGATATCCATGTCTCACTTCAACCCCTTTGAACTTTGTCTATCACCACTTTAAACACCTCTTGCGCCCCTGCTATTGTGCCATTTTTTTCTTTTGTTTTTCGTTTTCCCTTTTCTTTTTTTCTTATATTTTATTTGTTTCCTTATGTTTTATCTTCTTCCTATTTTTCGTTTGTCTTTTTTTTTTCCTTCCCACTATTTTCCTACAAGTTTGTTCTCATTTGCATACACTGAATGAATTATTTTATTTGTTTAGCATCACTCTCTCAATTTTGGTACAATTTCTTTATTTATATTTTTTCCAATAATTGATTTATAATGAACTATAGCATATTTACATGAATTGTAGTAATTCAACTGAATAATGCCCATGAAATACAAAAGAATATGATTTAGATATAAGTAGTACGTTGGTCAATACATCAATGTTTTTGTATTGTAGTAAATTATGGATAATCAACAATAGCAAATAAAGTTGTTCATTTATTTTGTTATTTTCATGGACAAAATGATTTAACTTATTTAATATAATTGTCCCTTTATGTAGGTAACAAACCAATGATTGAAAATTTAGGAAGGGCCACTTTTGTCCCTCAATGTATAAAAGGGAGTAAAGTGATTATAAATGAAGTTAATGTGGACAAACTGCAAAGTGAGACAAGGGTATAAATGCATGAGGAAGCTTGACTGTAAATTTTCCTGCAAAATTTAATTCTTCAATGTATATATTGAAGCTGTTTATGGGGGGTAGGGTTGGATTGGGTGGTACGGGGGGAGGGAGTGTAAGCAAGATGTCTCGGATTCGAGCCTCCTGCTTAAAAAAAAAAAAAAAAAAAAAAAAAGCTGTTTATCAACCACCAACTTCAATTGACTCTCCTGGTGTAATGCTTTCTGGTACAAAATTTGATAATTAGGTCAATTTCTATCCCCTAGTACACGGCTACCTTCACAAAACTATGTGCGGATTCAAAAAGAATGACTGAGAGCAATTCATCCTTTTCTTCCAATTTCCAACCCTTAACACACGCAGCCAATCGTTGAATTCCACACTGGGACAAAAACAGGAATACTTTAGCAGCCAGGTACAATGAAGCATGCAAAATGCCCTCAACTTTGATACATATTTTCAACCGATGACCAGCACACTAAGTACAGTATTACAAAAATGATGCACAAATACGCGTGGCACTTTGTGAGTATTCATCAATTCTACCAAGGTATAATTCTCCAACTAAAGATTCTTCTCTATAGTCTTTGCAAGTATTATAAGTATTCATCAAGTACATACGTATTAGTATAAAAATGGTACACAAATACGCATGGCACCTTATAAGTAGTCATCAAGTCTACCTAGGTTCTTCTCTATAGTCTTTGTTGGATAAAAAAAACATTGGGAATATATGAGGGAAGAAAGGGTTACATAGTGCATGTTCTTTTATTAGGTTACATGGTCCATGTGTTGTTCACACACGAATAACTTTCTCAGTTTTATACAAGATTGAGAACAACAAATTCATCATAAATAAACAGATGTGAAGATTAAACTAAATATTTTGATGATGATAAATTAAAAGATGCACACAAACGTGAAGGTTAGAATAGCGCTTTCGCTTTCAGTGATACATAAGACAATTAAGGAACTCTTAAAAAAAAAAGAGCCACATTGTGGGAAAGGAAAATTTAAATTAGGTCATGAAATGACCCCAATAAAAATACTATTAAACAACTTTGTTTGCTCCTACAAAAATAACTACCTAAAAAACCTTCTCTAGTACCACCACATCACAAAACTATAGTCCATTAAAATGTAAATTTAAAAAGTGAAAAAGATTTTTGTAAAGAAATACACTAACACCAATTCAACTTCATATGCTCAAAACCGATTTCGTGTGAACCTTTTTTTTTTTTTCCCAACCTCTGCTCAACCCGTGACTGAAACCTTTAAATTGTACAAAATCATTCTAAAAATCAACTCAAAATAAAAAAATAAAAAAAAACCATACCTGACTCTATCACAATCAGAAAAGGAAAAAAATAAACAAAATTTGATTTATTATAATTTACAAATAAAAATAGCATAGCCATCCAAAAAAATCAGTAAGAGAGAATATTGGAGAAAGGAAAAAAAAGAAGAAAGTGACTTTTATTTTTTTCTTTAATTTTTTGACCTTCATTTATTTGATATATGAATTTTGTATCAAGTGAATGTTAATATAATCATTTTGCAATTATTAAGAAAGGTAAGTAATATTTTTAGAATCTCATAAGCTAAGTGATATTAGGAGAAACCTCACAGGAGCCGGATAGTTTGAAACCCATACTAGAGCAATGCCAAAAACAAAAATAGGAAAGCAGGAGAGTTTGAAATAAATTGTTGCTACGTTCTTCATATATTTAGGCCTCAAAATAAATGTTTTGGCTACGTCAATGACTAATCACTCACATGTATGACAAAATTTGATTAGATAGTTAAACGCATTTGGGACAGTCATAGCGTGCTGGATTAATTTAGAAAATGGAAACAAGAACTATTTCTGAACAAAATTAGCAACAATTGACATCTCCATATATATTGCTGTGAATACTTTTCTAAAGTTCACAATGTGTAAATTGTAAAAAAAAAAAAAAAACATAGGGGAATCATAATTACGATGTGAATCTTCTAGGAAACTCAATTAACGTGTCTTTTGCAAATCACCTTCGTTTTTTCCACCGACTACTAAAAAAAAAAAAACGATTTATTTTGGTAACACTGTACTTGCTTCTTCGTCTCTTTGCATGTTTACTTTTCCGTTGTGTTGCACGCGGGCATATGTTCATGGGTTGGTACTTGGTAGTTATTTTGATTTCATGGGAAATTCTAAAGTGGAAAATTCTGCTCTTTTCCAACAAGTGGGGTTCTTGATTTATGGTATACTCCATCCAATGTTTTTTACAGGCTCTAGAAAAGCAAAAAAAAAAAAAAAACCCTAGATATCCATCAATTTTAAGAACTTGTTGCAAAATTGTAGTATTTGTCACTTTTATCCATTTTTTAGTAGTTATAATTTTGAAGTTTGGAACAGAATTCTAAAAATTATTAGGCAACAAACAACATCAAGTTCAACACAATAACTTTAGAAGTCCCATCTGCCCAAAACTTCTAAAAATTTGGACCAAAGGGTCTTCTTGTTTAGGCTACAACAAATCACAAGTTGATCAATGACCCAAGGGAATAAGCAATCCTCACTTCTCATTGTAACAGTAAAAATTTGGTTACAAAAAAAAAAAAAAAAAAAAAAACAGAGTTAAGGCTTCTGGGATCCCATCTGATGAGAAAGTTAAGTTTGCATATGCAATCAACGTAAGAAAGCTAGTCAAGCCACCGCTACCAGCAGGATACTGGGGAAATGGCTGTGTTCCAATGTATGTTCAGGCTAAGGCCGGAGACCTTGTCGATCAACCGATATATAAAACAGCAGAATTGATCAACAAGAGCAAATACAATGTCTCCGATGAATATGTTCGATCGTTTATCGATTTTCAGGAGCTACATTATCATGAAGGAATCACAGCAGGAGCAAAGGTGAGTGGATTTACTGATTGGAGACACTTAGGCCATTCCACAGTGGACTTTGGTTGGGGAGGTCCTGTTACAGTTTTTCCTCTGTCAAGAAACCTACTTGGAAGTGTTGAGCCCTGTTTCTTTTTGCCCTATTCTTCAGCAAATGAAGGGAAAAAGGATGGTTTTAAACTCTCTGTGTATTTGCAAGAACATGCTGTGTCAGGTTTCAGAGAAGACATGGATAAATTGAAGAATTTAGAGCCTGGATTCCTTTGAATGAAAGGGTTTCTTGTTATCTTTGTCTATATTTCTGTCAAATTCAAGAGGTTTCAACTTTGTGAGATTGGCAAGTGTTGTGAATGGGAAGTTGAAGGCAAACAATTTTTAATGTGTTTGGTAATAACGTCAAAATCAATAGGTCAAATACTCTCTCTGCAATTAGACATTAGATAAAACATAATGCCAATTTTGCAAGTAATAGCTACTCGCATATATGGCTACATTCCAAAACAACAATTGGAAATGTGATTGTGACAAGTTGAGAAAATTGACATTTTGGAAGTTCAAATAATATATTAGTTCTTTACCAAAAAAAAAAGATTTTTTTGGAGAAAGAAATCGATATTACACAAACAACAAATGTATTTTTGACGGTGTTATTGTTGAATTATTTGATTATTCAATTCAACACTTAAATTTAATAGATTCATATCTAAACTGTTTAGATGCGTTTGATACTTAAAAATTGAACATCTGAATTCATTAAGTGGCAATAAATTTTTAAACAAAACTTGCTCCTAAAATAAATGATAAGTTATTCATTCATCATTTAATATGATATACACTCAAATGTATTGGATTTAGTATTTAATAATTCTATAACTTAATGGTTTCAGATATCAGATTTCAATTTTTAGACTTCAATTTTATCAAACGTACTCTTAATATTATTTTAGTCCTGATTTCTCTAAATTAGTGGAAAGCTATATAGGTTCCAACATGTTACAGTCGAAGGTTTTATATCTCAACAAAGGCTAATTAAGCAACTTGATTAGAGTCCATGTAGACTGGATTCAAGCTTACCCCAGTCCCTTGACATCAATGGAAACTTGATTCTTTTGTAAAAATTTAGCATTGAGAGATTATACATACAAATATTTTTCCCTATTGAAAACTGTTTTCA